GGGATGTATCGTATCGTGACCCCTCTGTCATGATATGTATCGTATCGCCACATTCTTGCCAATACACAGCCCTAGTTGAAACGAGGATTAAGTCCAAAAGTGGGATGTGGAGAAATACAGGTATAGGGCAAGAATTGCATTATGTCAAACTATAAATAATTAATGCCTTATCAATGAATTATATGAATGAACGGTCTGAAATATAATCCTAAAATAACATTTTTTGAAGAAGTAGAAACAAAAAACCTGATTTTGAATTTTTCCCGGTGAGTTAACAATGATTTTGTTTCTTTCCAACTGGGAAATCTTATACAAATAATATTTGCGGTTTACTCTTTAAATTAAAATAAAAAAATACTCAATAAATTTACATAAAATTTGGATTCAGAGCAAACATCATAACCATCAAAACAAATTAAGTCATATCTCTGGATAAGCTGATGATAACAGATGTCAAAATGTAGCTTTTAAAGCAGGAATCTGAAAATGTAATTAGGTCATTTTGACCAAAATTGACTTAATCCTCATGTCGATATGATGGGTCACATATTCCCATGGAATTTAGGGGTTGAAATGACAATAAATTATCTTTTTAAAACAGCATGGGTTTTATGAGGGGGGTCCCTGGGATTGTTTTTCACCATTATAAGGGGTCCCCACACCCAAAAGGTTTGAGAACCCCAGAGGTAACGGTTTTCACTAAGTAAGAACTAGAGCTTAATTTCATAATAAAAGCCATATCGTTTTTAAAATGTGTGAAAGTTACCTTTTCAATAAACTCTGAGGGACGTTTCCAGGTGTGCACCTTAAAAGTTGCAGGCAGAGGAACCTTTCCCTCTGGATCCTCAAAGTGTGGCTGTGTGAAATAATTGCAAACAATTACAAACTGACACTCATTCTGCTCTGATCGCATGTGAATTCCTTTCAAAGGTTAAATTATGTACAGCACTGGGATTCTTGTTTGGCCTCCTGTCCTCATGTCCTCTGACAGAGTCCCACTTCTCCATGTTGACATCAGCATCATCCCACTCAGGCCAAATGGGGAACCTGGGTCTCCCCACACCTCCCAGGTTCTCAGACGAATTTCCTACAGAAAGACTGAATGACGACAAATTTCATAAATAAAGTTCTTCTTCACCTTTTTTCCCCCCTAAGCCTATTTGTAAAACGATGCTACCAAAGCGTTTGGTATAAGAGAGACAAGCTGTGGGGGGAGAGAAGGCTCTTCTCGCGTTTTGGTTTGTCTAAAGCGTAGCTAATGCTAATGCTAATGCTAAAACAACTGCTGTTTCTTATTGACGTTAATTGCGCACTTAAAAAGAAACTCACTCTGTACGTCGGTCAAACAAAGACGCCCTGCTTGACAGCTCTCTTTTTAACGGTGCCTTGGACATTATTTGTTTTTGGTCAAATTAGCACTAACTCAATAACAAAGTAAAAAAAAAAACTGAACGAGTTATGTCTCTCTACATTTCGAAGTTTACTTGTTGCCACGCGACTGAACCGGTGTTTCATTGTAACCGTCTAAAAGTGGGTGTATGGCAGGTCGTTGTAACATTTATTCTAACCACTCAACTTCAAAAGCTTTTTTTTTTTTTTAGACACGAACGGTTCTTTTTAAAATTAAGGTATCACTAGTCAGAATAAAATTGAGAATATCTGAAAGACACAAACAAAAATAAATAAATAAAATTTAATAATAATAACCTACAGGTCAATTATTTCCCCAAGAAACACTCAGAGATTACTCCTAAAAAAAAATCTAAAAATTAAATTTGAGAAAGTAAATCTGGCTATTTTAACAGTGGTGTGGCAGGTATCCATTAACGCCTTTCTGAATGTAAGATTAGTATATATA